GGATGGCAATCTTGGGGTTAACGGCCAAATCCCGGGGTTAGCACAGTGGGAAACCAAGCAGGGTTAAGCGTTCCCCAAGCAATCTCGGGGTTAAAGCACAGTGAGGTTTTGCGTAATCTGAGGTCAAAGGTTAAATTTATGGTATTGCTGCTGCATTTCCGGGATGTAGGCCTATCGTTGTTTAATAATCGTCACACGTACATACACACATTTCGGCGACCGATACTGCCTCCATGTCCTCTGGTGCCATTTGGATCTGTACAGTGCTGGCTCTCTCTGAAACTGGACTTTGTCTCCGATCGGGCTTGTTGTTTTTGTTTTTGAAGTTTTCAGCTCGTAAATAGGCCAACTAGCGCCATTGTAAGATCACATGAGGTACAAAAGAGCTAAAACTGAAGTGCTTGATAATTTGCTGCAGCAGAATCACTGAACCGATCCAAAAATCATTCAACATAGCACTTTCGAACCGAACCAAACTGGTCTGTTCAGGTGTTCGGTTTTAATGGCATAGCCATGATAGGGCAGGGAATGCATGCAAGAAAGCTTGACACAACTTACGATGGCCCCACATCACTCAATGGTTGTAAAAAAGCATGTGGTGAGAATTCACTAATAATCAACTGAGAATATGCAAGGTTTAGCATTTCCGCTGCATAATAATGCTAAATTCTCACTACATCCAATTGTGCTTATGTATATTCAGACTATGTATGCCAATCTCCAATAGCCACGCCCTTACATTCCATATTAGGCCAATGATGTCATAAATAGCCGTGCAAAACTAATTTTGATTGGATGCTGATCATAGTCGGACTCACGCTCGATGGAATGCTGATTTTGCTAGGCCAGGAGCAGCACTCCAGGGCGCAACCAGATTTGGTGCGTGCGGTGTCTTATCTTTAGTTTGGTAAAAGTCATAATATGTGTACGTTGTAAATGGAATTTTTCCAGATCTCTAAAAGTTGTTCGCAAATTTCAAATAACAAAATGCAATCATCCGTTCGAAAACAGACTTCGGGAAAATTGCCCTACATGGGCGCCATCCTGGGAAAGAATGCCAACTTGATACCAAGGGTCTTCTTCAAATATATCAAATGCTATAGTTTGGTAGTTGAATCTGTTTTGTAAAAAATAACTAAACAGAATTTGCTGGAAATCTAATTTGATGTTGTATCCTGTTAAGTAGGGAACTCCTATTTAAGCATGCTTGTGTTTGCTGTTTTCGTATATCCTACGATCATTTTGCTGAGTCAAGCGCGGTCCAAACACAACTGCTTTTGGCAGGCAAAACACGGTCGGAAAATATCACACCTCAGTCGATAACTTTCTGCGGAATTTTAACTCCGAAATAAACTTTGGGATACAATTTAGAAAAAAAACAGTTGAAATTGAAGTTGTTTTTGGATGGGGGATGGAAAAGGAGATTCATTGCTTATAGACGGAAGTACTACTGCACGTTGGTAGCCAGCTCTTTGATGCCTCAATGTGCATTGTACGTATATGTGTGTACATATCTGAACCTGAACGGAACCGAAGTTCGGAAAAAATTTCCGGACCATGTTCGAAATCAAACCTTGGCACTTACTTAAAGGATAGCTTTGATTTGAATTGAAAACTCGACTCCTGCAATCAGGAATTTAGTTTGGAAATTATGCCTAAGCTGAAATGAAAGTGAGTTTTGGAAAATTGCCATGCGCAGTGCCGGTGCTGGTATGTAATGTGCTGATTGTCCGTGCTACTTCATAGAACACTTGTAGAAACAATCTACCAACTATTTTGACCGTGTGTGTATGTATGGTTAATTTCACTCACCAAGAGTTGGATGTTTGGCGCGCAAAATGTCTGTGTAAAGCATTGTGGGACCAGTGTACGAGCTCCAATTTCTGGAAAGGGTATTTAATACATTTCTTGCTGAATCTGTAAAATCCAGTAGTAAAAATCCTTCAGCCTGGATGACGGTCGAGGGCCAGCAAGTCCATGAGACCTTGGCTTTGAGACTGAGATCAAGTTGTAAATGTCAAGAACTTAAAATGTTGAGACCTGTCTCAATACCAAAGCCAGCCTTGGGCCAGAGGACAGGTAGTGCCATAATTTTCAGAATATAGGCTGTGCGGAGTATAACTCGCACCAAGCAAAAAGCTACAAATTAAGATTTGCAGATTAAGTGAACCTAGTAGTCGCTCCGGTGTATAAGTCGCACCATGGTGCTGACAGTGTCTCACCATGTAAGTCATTACACATGCTGCACTGCTGAAGCGTTAGCACAGTATGTCAAGTATCACATGGCATACTTCGACATTCACCTGACTTTCTTCACATAGTGCTGCCAAACCTTTGTTGAAAAACTTCAAATCCACTTTGTTAAACATTGATACTATTGCCTTCATGATACAGGCTTTTGAACCTTTGTGAACAATTTAAGTGTCATGGAATTTAGTCTTGCAGTCAGAAATTGGGCAAGAATTCAGCTGAGTTTCCCCTGGCGCCCTTGAAAAAATCTCAGAATGTCCCACAAAAAAATTTCAGAAGTTCTTTAGAATTGATAAATTCCAGTAAATCATAATTACCTCCACTTACATACCCAACTAAAAATTTTTCAAAAATATATATATTTCAGGGTGCATTTATTTTGCACTTCAGAAAAGAAATCAGAACATCGGGCCAAAATGAACTTTCTTCGGAACTCTGTAGCGGGTATATGAAATCAACATTGATGAATCAGAGTATTTGGAGCTTGATTAAATTTCACCTTTTGTAAAACTGGAGGTCAAATAGTGCTCCAGTACTAGTAACACACAAACGTTTGAGGCAAAAATTTGACATGTCCAATGCTAGGGTCTTGTGCCATGTTCAGGTACGTAATTTTCAAAAATTTTCAAATGTAAGTACTGTGCGAACAAGACCTAAACCCTCTCAAGTCCTTGAAAATTACAAATTTTGCAGACTAAATTAGTGTCCCTATTGAGTGGGCCATGCAGTTGTTGTTTTTTTAAAACAGTCACCCAAATGACCAGTGAAACAATAAACAATATGGATTAGATAACCGTAAAAGACCAAAATGAATAGACGCACCACATGATTTGTGAGGTGTGAACGGTACTTACGGTACATTTACAAGTCTAGTCAGTTCCTCAGGAATGGTTGCCTGTATTTCCAACACATGGGTAGAGCCCATGTAAAAGACAACCAAAGAAAAGATGACTGCCTTGTTGCCGCTCCAGGAATGCTGCGCCGCTTGCACGCATGGCCGGCTGCAGCGATGGCCCGGGTTTGGCTGCGCTGAGGCATGGCATGGCGTAGCATTAAGTGACTGATTTCATTCTTCAAATGTTGCCATATAAGCCACCCAGAGTATAAATCACAGGGACGTTTTTCAGTGTTAGAATCACCATATAAGCCATGGCTCATATTGTCCAAACATTGTGATATATGCAAGAGACAATCCTCTGAATGTCCTCAGCCACGGGGTCTTCATGTGAGCCCCAGGAACACAGCAGAAGCAAATGTTCTAGTGTTAGTCCAAGTATTTATCTTTGTTCCTGGTGGGTTACTTGTGCATTTTGTGCCCGTACATTATCGGTGTTGTTTCCAGCACCATTTGTGCTTACATTACTTGTCTGCTCTGGTCAAATTGGAAAAAGATATTTGATGCTGTAATAAGGCAAGAGATCACAGTTACCATGTGTTGTGGGCATTGCATGACTTCAGCTTTCATTCACACCACTGGCCAAAAAACATCTGCTTCCAATTACATGCCTTTCAAAGTGGGGTCAGTAGGTCAGAAATGTTTTGGTTTTGTTGCCAATTTGTCCATGCTGATTCAGTGTGGTATGCAGTTACCAGTACATGAGAATTTCAGACTGGGTATTTTCCCTACAAAAACAATTAAAATAAAACCTCATACTGTGACAAAAACTTGTCTTGGGGCCGAATCATAACCTCAGGCGAATTTGAATGTGAATCGAATCTGACGTCGTGAGAACTTTGCAACGAAATTTCACTCAAGTTGACGTGGGTTCAACTTTCGCGAATTCGCAGCACACATATTTGATCTGACCTCACATATGCAAGTTCACTTTCATGCGAAGTATTGAATTAATGCAATAAATCTTTACGGTCGATAATTCTTTAAAATAACAAGAAACTGGCCAACAATGTCAGTGTCTTGCATGGTAAGAGTGGTGATGCATCTGTGAGGAGGGCGATAAGCCTCTCATTGTGGCAGGAAATTTTGTGGAAACACACTCGCTTCAAAATAAACTTGTGAACTCGGGAAAAACAGACAAGGAAGATCAAGTTTTGTGAAGGGAAACTCATCGAAATCTTCTTTCTCCAATGTTGTTTTACCTGATGCTGTAGTGCAGTGTACATGTAGTGTGATAGCATTTACGCTATTGGAAAGTCGTGTGCATAGAGTGGTTGCCACATTTTGGGGTTCCTTTTTTGGCAAGTTTAATGTGCGGCATGGCAGAGACTCATTGAATATCATTAGGCACATGTTATCACAGGGATAGCTTACTGCAAATAGAACTTGTGAAAACATAGGAAGTTTCTTCTCAAAAATAGTGAATATAAGTGGGCAAACAAATAAATTCAAGCATTTTTGACGTACAAAAGTAAGAGGCATTTCTCAATGGCAGAAAAGACAACTGGAGTTTTGAAATATTTTTACTTGTTTTTTAACTTGCCAATAAAACATTTAGGGTCTCACTGTTGGAAAAAGTCCGTCAAGTAATTGGAGGCAAAATATTTTTTGGCCTTGCGCAATTTATATCCTGGTCAGAGAAGAAATTTGAAAAGATGCTAAGCAACCCCCCCCCAAAAAGAGATCAATCCATTTTGCACCTGTTGAGGAAATCGGCTTTAACAAGGCAGAGCGTGCACTAATGTATGGGTTTGCCCATTTCAACACATCTTGAGAGCTCTTTAAAGTTTCAAGTCTAAGAGAATTTTAACTGTCCCGAAAAAATTACCAGGATGTTTTATGTATTTGCATAATTGGCATTTATTGGCTTTTGACTGGAATGTCTTCATATACAGGTATGCACTTTTGAAGTACAGTACTGCTCAAGGAAGAAACTGAAAATCTCTGACCTTACTAACATAGTTTTATTTCCATAGCAATCAAACATTCAAATTTTGGTTGAAAAGTCTTATATATACTCTACATATTTGCCTGTACAGCAATTAGAAATGTAGATTCAGTCTCTTTAATATACCGGTATTCTTCATAAACCCTACAGGTCTCAAACAACTGAGCCATTTTGTGCAAGTTTCAGTTGCCCTTCGAAAACAATCAAACTGTTTTACATCCCTAACAAAGCGATTGTCATTCTTGAATTAATTTAATTGAAAATATTAACCCAAACCATGCTGAATCCAACAAGAATATGCATGATTTCAGTGGTTCCTAGGGGGTTAGGGTTAAGGATCTACATATACATGACCTGGGTCCAATTTCATTGATCTTCCAATCACAAGCATTTGCTAAGTACAGAAAATATTTGCTGAGCAAAAACAGGTTACCAGCTAAGTCTTACACATTATAGTTCTTGCGACTACTGCCTGGCTGGTTTCGGCTTCAGACTCATATTTGTGAAGCCGAATGTTTCAGAACACCTGCAGTCTGTCATTTCTACTGTCACACACAAGTATCTCGTTGTCTCTGGAGAAGGCCACGCCCAAGGGATAGTTGAGCTGGTCCTGCCCTTGCCCGCTCAGCAGCTTAAAGGGTTGTCCTTTTGGGGTGAACAGTTGCACTCTGTTGTTGAGGCGCTCAGACACAGCAATATAACCCTTGACATCAACAGCAACACCACCTGGCCTTTTCAGATCGCCCATGGCAGAGCCTTCCTTGCCAAATAACCTCAGGAACTGTCCAGTTCTGCCATCAAACACCTGCAGACAGACACAGAGTTCAAATCTAGACGCATGTCGTGTTTGCTTGTTAACCCAAATTTTCTTGACGCCACTCACTTTGCATTAAATATTGAATTTCATTGTCTTAGAGTTTGATTTTAGTGGTTGACTTTAATTGCTCTAGGGGTGTGTGTGTGTGTAAAGCAAGCCTTAGTCAAGACATAATCATGATGATATCCTTTTCAGAAGAAACCATGTGGAAGAGTGTTATTGCCCCACACATGAAAATACAGGTATGTTTATTGTGTACCTGTATACATGTTAGTTCGATTTGAAAACTATCACGTACATGTACATACATATATATGGCATAGTTAATGCATATGCAACTGAAACTCACAGAAACTGACATATACATGAAACAAATGTTTATAAATATATGTAGCAGTAACAAGTTGCCACAAGAAATATTTCTTAATCTGGGAAAAAAGACACATAGATCCTCTTGTATGGGATTGCCTTAAATTTCAATTTACTGTAGCCCTGACGTTGAAAAACTGGTGCTACGTGACTGGTATTATGAATTGATACACTGTAGGAAAATCCCAATAAAATGGATTAAAATGGTTGAAACCAGTCAGAAAAATTATGACCAAAGGCGTGACATTTTACCAGCATCATGTGTATCTGCTCCGAGCGGAACAAAAGAGGACATGTTTTTTGGTACTCACAACATAGGCGTGATATAAGGCGCGCAATTATCGCGCGCAAGTATATGGGCATTTTATATGCAGAGCACGCTGCATACGCGTAACTAATTTATTCCGGCATGTATGGTGTTTACGTACACGCAGAACGCATGTAAGAACTCGCAAGTAACCACTTGTCTTTCTTTCACCGATTGGAGGTACACTTCAGCTCGGGGCGGATAACATGTAGACTTTGCTATGGAGTGGAGGTGTTACATGTACATTTAACCAAAATATACGTGTACACATACTCCGGTAGTATCATGTTACTGGTACAATTTCACTCAATTTTACGGGCATTCAAAGACAGTTTTCCTATTCTCCCATTTGTACCTTACACATGGATTAGTTTGAGGCATTGGAGTAAAGGTCTGCGGGTCACAGAATGCTTGTAAAGAACTTTGCATACAGAACTTTGAACTGAGTTCTCTGACCTGTATTCTGTGGTTGTAGCAATCTGCAACTATCACCTCCCCATCAGGCGTCAGAGCCACGCCACTAGGCCGTTTAAACTCTCCCGGCTTGGAACCTCGCCTTCCAAATTGCCAGATCTCGCAGCTCATGTCAAAGACGCGAACCACGTGGTTGGCCCAGTCGCTGACATAGAGCTCTCCACTGGGGGTGCAGGCCATACCCCTCGGGGAGAACTCAGAATCAGCAGCGACAGTTTGTAGCTGGTAGTACGTCTTGCCATCCAAAGTTGAGGAAAATATGGCATTCATATCGGGGCTACTCACATACAGCCTCCCCGTTGGGCTCATACAAATCCCTGGTAACAAAAAATTCACAACAGTTCAGAAGAATCTTCCATAATCTTGAACGGCTGAACACATACTTAAGATTCTTTTCTCTTCTTGTGCTGGTACAACCAATATGTTCTTGGCCACAACCCTAAAGGTTTCACTTGCCTTACTCAGCCATAAGGGTATACTCACTTGACATTGCAAATATTTACTAAACCCTCACCTGTAATTCCATCATTGAATTGGCACACTTCAGGAGAACCAACACGAAAAGACCTCTTGTGATGTGGGGATGTAAAGATGCTGATGTCGTAGGACATTGCAGATCCCACGGCGATGTCCCCGTTTGGTAGCTCGGCAACACAGCTTGGGCTGTTTAAGCGAGCATCGGGCTCATTGCCATAGGTGCGCACTGCCTCCCCCTTGTTGGTGTAGTGGTACACCGGACTCCCCACAGCTGCGTCAGAGGCAGGGGAACCAGGGTCCACTTCAGGGAAGGAGGGATGAGGGATCCTAAAGGAGCATAGCTCCGTGTTGAGGTTGCCCCAGGCCTTGACATCACTGAGTATATTCTCGCAGTGGTCATCATTGAAGACTAATCTCTCGGCTGATATCTCCTTCCCCGGGTGTAAACTTCTAGCCTTGGACTGAGCCTCATGGATATGCCTTTCCAACTCATCAATAGTTGTAGGAGCTTCACCAGTCTTCCGAAACTCTTCCACGGTTGTGCTGAGCTCTTTGCAGAATCCCTCATATAGAACCTTCTCATGTTTGTACTCATCCTCCTGAGCTGTCAGCAGGGCTCTGCTGTCCTTGTAAGATTTTTCCAGCTCATTCAAGAGCTCTTCCTTTCTTTGATTGGCTGCTTTTGCAATTGCCTCTAATCTTCTCTTAATTGTGCTCTTTGTGGCCTCGTATTTGTTGGAAAGTGCCGCTCGCTCGCCCTGGATTTTATTGATGGTGTCTCCAAACACTGCACCTGAAGACTGATGAACTTCTTTGATAGAAACCCTCAAGGTTGAAAGGAGGTCCTGGATCTCTTTGGACACACCGGTAGAGCGTTTTGATGCATGGGGATGCCATTCACGAGGGCTAGGATCCTGTGTTCCGTAGAGAAGCAGAGTTGTTAAAATAATCAAATTTCATCAGCCTTTGACAACGCTCCAGATCCTTTAAAATCCAAGATTTTGCAGTATTAAGGGAGACAGAGCCTCTGCATTATTATTTTACATAGTGTTTGATGGTCCTGTGAAGTACGAAAAAAGAAAATGTCTCCTAAAGTGTAAGACCTTGTAAGTCTGTTCTGTCCTAGAAGCACTTCTGGGAGAAGTGAGGAGGTAGAACCTAAATATTAAAAGAAATATGCAAATGTTATTTTTTTTAATTCTCAAGGCCATTTACTTTTGTCAATCATTTTCAGTGATTTTTTAGCCCAAAAATTAAGGGCTGAGTAAATTTGAATAATTCACTATTTGAATATTTGACCTTGAATTGAATCGAATATCTGAATATTCAGTCATACCTACCACCAGATTGTTGATGAACAAACCATGTACAAATTCAGTTGCAATAGCGCACACACTTGTTCATTGTATTCACCATAATACATGTACATGTACCCTTTCACAGGTAGGAGTTTCTCCAGCCACAATTTGGCAAGATTTAAGAGACAAACAATACTTCTCGCCCTGTTGAAAATTTCTATTCCTTTTTAATTTTTAATGAATAATTTTCTTTTTGAATCATTGTAAGATTTCTGTTGCTTTTCATTTGAATCTGCTTGAAATAAGTCTCTATAACGCAATTTTTCTCATTTAAAACAAAAGAAAATTTTTCCCTTTCCATAAATTTTGCATTCAAATATTCAAATTTGGAAAATAATATTTGCATATTTGCATTGATCGAATACATTGTCACAAACTTACTTTCAAGGCTACCATTCACTAAGCAGGTGCTTATACAAACTTTGCAATAAGAATGTCAGTTCTGCATTTTATACCTGTAAACAGCATAGACTTTTTCCACCCACATGGCTAAATGTAAACAATACCACCACGTGTGGACCGCCTCGGCCATGGTGATCGCCTATCTTCCTACGGGCATCTTCCACCACGTACAAGCGCACGTACGTGGTAGCTATCAAATCTTTACCTGTGACTTCGCCTTTGCAGCTTGCTTGCGTCTTTTCATGTTATCTTGCTCCAGGAATTTGATCATGGTCAAGTTAGGGCGGAATTCTGTCACCCCGCCAGGTGGAACCAGATGTTCTTCACGACAGTCAGGACACTTGATCACATTGTTCATTCGCATCTGGTGGAGACAGACGTGGCAATATGTGTGCTCACAAGGCAGCAGCTTGGGTTTTCTATTGTTGCCGTATCTTTCAAAGCACACTGCGCAATCAAGCAGGCTGGCGCTATCACATACATCGCTGCCCAAGTCAGACTCGGATGCCATGATGGCCTTAAATTATGAACTTGATAAAAGTCCAGAATTCAGCTCCTCTGAGATGCCTCAGTAAAATATTCTGCAATCCCTTGGGTAGGGACTCGTGGCCCAGTGGTGAGGGTTAGTTACTTCCGATTGCAAGGTCTGGGTTGGAATGCTGTGTGGAGTGACAATGTGATAAAAAGCACATTGAGAAGCAGTCAGTGATTGAATACCTTATGTACATGTAAATATGTGTCATATTATTTAATAAAAAGTCAAGACCCATCATTACCCCCCGCCCAATAAAAAAGCAAGAAGAAAATGCGTACATTTAGGACATTAACTTTGTTTTCTCTTGGCACGGTCTTCATTGGTTATCATACTATGCATGTAGCGGTAACAGATGTTGCAAACATAGCCCTCCCCAACATAGGAAATTTTCCAGGTTGATAGGGGACTTCATCCCCAAGGGATCTTGACCCCCCTGTTACGCTCTACTCATCTGTTTGATGATCAGCATAAGGCTTCATCGATCAGTGTAAGGTACATTGTGACTTCCCTCGACCCACCACCCTATATGGGGAGTTGGATGGGCTGAAATCTTTTTGCAAAAATTTTGTAAAGGAAGTACTGATGTTGTCAAGTACATGTATACACAGGGGTGAGATTTCTCAGCTTTTCAGCTGATTTCAGCTTTTTTGGTTTTGGATTTCAGCTTTTTTTCCTCACTGGCTGGGTACAAAAGTATTGGAGATTTTCACAGTTCAGCTTCTGTCTTTTTTTAGGTGTTTTCAGCTATTTTTATCATTGGTTAATGTCATCCCTCTATACGTAGTATCAAACATCCAGAAGAAACTTGCCCATCCAAGTGCCCTGAGTGAAGCCAGGTTCACTCATTCCTAACTTTTAAGCTGAATTCCTGCGAATAGCAATTCTTATGTACAGTAAATCAGGAGGTGGCTCTTGGCTGCATCAGAATGATTCTGTTAGTTGGTTGAAAGATCATTAGAGATTTAGAAGTGCTCCAACACTTCTGACATTTTCAAAATTGTCCGGGCGATTTGGGAAAAATTGCAATTCCTGCTTTATTCTTGTTTTCATGACGAATTCTGGATATATACGTACAACAGCTTTAAAAGTTTTGTTGAAATATTGTTGTACCAGAAATATGCCAAATCATTACATGAATGAATCAAAGAGTGTTACAAATATTCATCAAGATTTTGCAATATTGGCATAATTCTGGGTCGTTCTGGATGATTCTGGAGTTGTTTGCACACAATTTCTTGACAAAATCACTGCAGTTCACTAAAATGCAATCAATTCAGCTTTATTTGGGCTGATTGTGCTTTCAATTCATATGCAGTTCTAAAGACTTGTTCATCCTTAAGTTATCCTTGCAAACAGCAAAATGGGGCTAACATCAAGAATGTGTATTTGGGATAAATCAGGGTATTCACAGCATTATATTGGGAATTTGTGAACCTACCAGTAGTTTAAGCATGGAGACTCAGACCAGTACAGTGGCAATGCTGTCGCTTTTATGTTGAGGTTCCTAGTGGCCCCTTTCAATGGTGGAATGGATTGTATTGGTTTTATTTGGAGTGAGGACCGTAGAATATATACATGTATGTGTACAGTACCACAATGCCTCTCACTACAAGGGGGAAATCTATATATATGGCGCATGGATTATGATGTAATGTAGGCCTCCATGCCACCTGAACAGACCGTGCCTGCACTGCATTATGAAATGTATTGAAAAGAAAAGCATACGTTGTACAACTAAGATTTTGGTTGTCACAAAGACTTACCATTTTCTCACCTAGCTGCATGCACGTAAGAATGTGAAAGACATTGAACACAAGGGCCAGAATGTGAGAAAGTAGATTTTCATTTCCGTAAGGGACTTGCATCTTTACCAATTAATTTGGGCTAATGGGCTCGTGTAAAAGTTTATCTTTCAAAGAATCATTCAAAGGTTTCCTTAAAGCGTGTTGCAGTCATGGTACATGTACATGTACTTTGCATGCTTGAAATACATGTAGAAAAACTTCTCCTGTGAATATCTCAAACACCTGTTTCTCTTAATTCAAATTCCATGTGTGGTCTTTGAAAATGTGACATTGTGCCAACCCTTTATCCAAAGATGAACATGTTCATACAAACCTACACACGTACCTTTAGGCCTATCACTTTTATGTGTTCAAGCATGGAGGAATAATTCTCCATGGTTCAAGTAAGTATGTTCATTCACACACACACACACAAGCACCCACACTCCACTGTATATGCCATCAGACAGCTTCCTGCATAAGCAGCATACATTATACATTCATCATGAACAGTAAAAAAAACTGTAAATCTTGACAAACAGCATCACTCATACATGTAGATTTAAAGCAAGAACAAAAAACAGAAAACCCCGAAAAATTGACACTCAAACCTGACAAACTGCAATGGAGTCGGTCAAACCAGGCAGGAACATAAGACACACTAATGGGGCGGCAGTTGTGTTGTACATGTAAATGGCAGCACAGAATGAACTCTGCACCCCCGTGCTATTATTAGCTTCTGGGAAAATCCAATCTGTGCATGTACTGCAATGCCGGCCCAGTTCACTGTGCATTGCTGAGTGTGTTTTCTTATCTGTTTATAGAACCCATGATAGAACACAGGCAGACTGGGCTTGGGCAAATGAACCACATGTACATTTGAGTACATGTATGTGTAGTCATGCATGCAGTATGCATATTGTGATGACAGATACAGTAGGCTCCGTTGACCCAAGGTTCATTGATGTATTTTATTGTCCAAAAACTACATCAAAAACTTAATTGCCTGTTTAGAAAACCTGTACAGGATTTTGAAACATATTTAATTGAAATTTACATACTTATTAGGCTTTAAAGAAAGTCCATATTGCAGTTTGTATCAAAGCAGTAATGTATAACTGTACTTGTAATACTGGCATACGAGTCGGTTAAAATTGTGAATAAAAATAAGTAAGACTAAATACAGCATAATTTAGCAACTGAAGAAATGCAGAAAAAAAGTTCCTTTAATATATGATGGATATTCTGAAATCGAGAGGTTTTATTTGTCACCATGCAAGTGAAAATCAACAATGTTGTGGAGTTTATTGTGAATGTTGAGTAGTTGATTTGACGTGCTGTTTTGATGGTGTTCTCTTTTAATAGAGCTTGATTTATCGTCAGTGCGTGTTTTGGACAGTGATGCATTTGACCCACTGGTGACACTAACCAACTTGACAAGGCTGAATCTCTACAGAACAAGGATAACAGAACCTGTTGTCATCAACATCATCAGGTTGGACAATTTCAAAGCTTTCTTTTAAAACTTCAGTCATTTCAGTTACTTTCCTTTGCAACTGTCCCACTGCAGCACACTGTGACAGGTCATTTACATGTTGCCCTTGGGTAGTGCCCTCACTTGACATCCAGAAAGTTTTCTTTGTCAGAAGTCACTCTCTCCAAAGCTTTCCTACATGCACATACATGTACGTCTACATTACACTCAGCCATTGTCACCAACCATCTCTGTACTAAAATGTGTAAGCTTTGGGTTTGATTTTAGACTGGATGACTTGCGACTGACTTGTGGCAAAGTAAGTGGATCCAGGTTGTTGAGGTTTGTTTGTCAATTTGGAGCAGATGAAGCAATACAATTTCTTTCACGTTGTTGGTGGTTTTTGCTTGTGTTGTTTTGGTTTTATTTTTTTCGTTTGACTCCTCTGTAGCCTGTGAAGTCATTTTTACAATCTTCCTATACAGGAAATCCCCCAAACTGCAGCATTTGAATCTGGGAGCAATACAGACAATACAGAGCTTTGACAATGTGATGTCTGAGCTTTCCAAGTGCAGGTAAGTACATGTAACAGTGAGTTGCGTGTATCCATTGATATGTCTTTTGATTTTCTTGCAAGTTTGCAGACAACTTCCAAGTTTTACAAGTTGGTAACTTAGAAATTTGGACGTTAGAATTTCCCTGTGCTTCCTTTGAAAAGCATTGTTGTGTGATTTTGTCTCTTCTTGAAATCAAGGATTGTTTCCAGACTTGTATTTCAATATTGCATGATAGTTTTCTAATGTCTTATTCTTGTTGACATCTTTTCCCTGTAGATTCATAAATCTACAATGCCAATGATTTCTAGTCCCCACACACTGTACATAAACACAACTTGAGCCCTAATGGAAACCAACTGGTTAGCTTTATCACGAGAAGAAAAACAACAAATGTCCTGAATGCAGCAACACCGTGAAATTATTTGAGAAATCAAACATAATTCCTTGGTGTTAATATTTTATCATGTTGTACTATATGTCAAAAATAAATGCTTGGTCAGTCTAGAACAGATGCTGATAATGGCCTGAACCCAAGGTGTCCAGTTTGCTGAGCTGATCTTAAATGTTTTCTGACCGACCAAATTAAATAATGCCTTTTGAATGGGAAAGTCAAAACAAATTTAAAATTTCCAATGATGTTGTTCAACCATTTTTTTTGTTTTTTGAGAATTTGTCAATCACCCCCTACCATGTTATGGTTTGTATGTGCCTCTTGCAAATACATGTAGCTGTATAAAAAACGTATTTGTTATACCACGGTCATACCGTTACATGAAGATACTGAATTTTTATTGGTCGCAAACTGATCACATGATGTCACAAGCGTGCATGTACTTGTATCATTCATGTCATTCAGGCGTTGCATGCACTGGCGATGTTTCCAGGCCACAAAAAATGATAGATTACGGTATCTTTCGCAGAGTTGCGTCTGTGTTGCATCTCCTGCATATAGCCCCAGTGGTACTGCTTTGGTCGTGGAACACAATGTGCTCTGATCACTGCTTCTGCAATCTTCATTGCTGTTGATATAAAACACTCATGCCGTCTGCTCTTCAATCTTGTCAATACTTTTCAACAGATCTTGGTGTAAATAATGTCTTGAAATTCAACCACTTGACAAAACCCCCAATCCTTTATGGATCACGGGTTTCTCTGTTAAACAAGTTTGTTATAAATCCTAGATCCCCCCAAAAAACAATAAAAACATCGGTCAACAATTTCATCACAATAGATAATTTTCCTTGAAATTTATATCTAATTCACAGTTCACATGTTTCAACTTGACAAAGTGTTTTAATTTATCTTGCAATAAAATGTGCATATACATGTATTACAGATATAAGAGCATTCCAGTGAAATCTGTGACCTTGGTATAACAAACGAATTGTTGCCTGCAGTGAGGGGATCCATGGTGTTTTTTAGAACACCCAAGGGAGCAAATGGCACCTCAGCTTCACCTTGAGTGCCCCCTGGGGTGTACAAAACATGGACCCCTGCACCACGGGCAACAATTGTTAAATGAAGATGCTCACATGCATACAGTACTACATGTACACGTGCGTGATAAGTGCAGAAGGCAATGAGCCAGTACATGGTGAATTTGGGGCTTGCTGGTGATACTCTGCATAGGATTCAACATTTAAGTAAAGATTGCAAATGTGTTCAACCAATAAAGGGAAACGGAGAAGATTTCATAGGGGTCTAGAAAAAATGTTTGAAATCTGGCGCTTTATAAACTATTAAAGACCGGTCGTGTGATGGACTCTCGACCAATAGGAATGGCTAATCTGTCTTAGGTATTCATAAATGTTTATTAATTGTGCTATACAGATGTGAATATTGGTACATGTTTTACCTTGAGTTAATTGAAAGACATTATGTCATCAATAGAGGAGCAGGTAGGAGATGTTTAGCAAGTTGGTTTGGAGGTACCATATACATGGAACACCTATGGCATACAATGTTCAAGGCTGCATTATGAACATGTACATGCAGTTACATGGTTATGTATACACCCATGGGATGTCATGCTGCCCAGTCAGCAAGGCTGAGTGCACTATTAGGTGTCATGCACTGTATAACAGACCAACCAGTATAAGCAAGAACCCACATTCAAGTTGTTATGTTCACATGAATTTAAAGAACTCAGTGTACCAGATTTTATTCAAATTTATCTCGCAAAAGGCTTATTCACTTATCTGAATTGAATGTACATGTACATTTTGTACACAGCAGGTGTTTACTGAGTTTGAATCTATGGCGTGCAAGAAACCTGACAATGTCAGGCCTCAGGGCTCTTGCAGAAGGGTTTGAGAACCTGCTTGAGATTGACTTAGGATGGTGGTAGGTATCTTCTTAGTAAAGGGATGATGTCATCATTCATACTTACAGTATACGTCACAAATCTCTCCTAAAGGAAAGCTGTTGAATTATTGTGCAATTGGAAAAGCAGGTGTAGAATTATTTATAACACCTCACCCACAGATTCAGTGTCTTGATTGGCTGAGAGCCAGTCACATGGCGTTCGCTGTTTTTTAGTATCTTGCTTTTCTATTTTAAAGATCAATACCCATAGCAACCAAAGTGCTACACTCTCAGCAACCAAAGAACTATGCATACGCATAACCATGTTCATTGTGCGCAAATGCATGCTGGTATGCTCATTATGTGCATTCCGAAGTGCAAGCACTAAAGAGTTGGGTTGAAACATTTTGTAACAAGCTTGTTTGGAAAAGTGATGGTAAACGTGACCCACCATCCTAAATCCAGGCTGAAGTCGCTATTTGTGATGTTGGACAATTCCTCTCCTTCAGCTTCTTTTGTACACTTTAAAGTGATCCATGTTCAATCCAAATTCTGTCTGCAGTAAGCTTCTTACGGGTAGTGATTGCCGTAAAACTCCCTTAAAATCTGAACAGTGGAAGTTCCACTATTTTAGGGTTATGAAGTTACCTTAGCCTGGCCTGGTTTGGGAACAGTGGGTCACAAATGTTTAAGAAAGTTCTCATTCAGTTAGATGTGCCTGTTATGTATTATGTTGTGTTAGATGAAATTCATCAATTAACGTTTATTTGCAGCATCTGTGGGGAGGTTCGATAAAACATTGACTGCTTTCCACATGTTGCATTCAATTCCACATTTATTTCTGTAATGCTATGTATGGAGTGTGACAAAAATACATGCAGAAAATTATGACAAAATAAAATTGAGGAATAAAGATGCGAAAAAATGAAGCAAACAAAAAGAAGAAGCTACATGGCAATAATGGAGGCATTATCAGAAAGACTAGGTCTTATGAAGACCTTTAACAAAACAGGACAAAATGAGACAATGGGACAAGACAACAGACATTACAGTTAAGAGACAGAGACTTAAATGTACATGTGTCTCATGATTAAGTAAAGCTGGCCTCCCTTGTGATCCTCTAAGCTAGCTTTACTACGCCACACTGAGCGAGCAATATTGGAGACTTAATTTTTAATCAACTGGCTAGTGGTATAATTTTTAACAGTGCGTTTTGTTGGATGTCACCAATCTGGGAATGGATTTATTCCCTTTCATGGCCGAAACTGTTGGTACGTTTAATTTTTTTTTTAGTGGCCAGTTGAGGGGCCCACCATTCTCTCCTATCTTCGTTAATTTTGTGCAGTCCTGCCGGAAGTTACGCAAGCTGTTCTTACCAGCAGTCAGGTAAGAATAATAACACAAATTTGATGCGTCATCATTTGCCTGAACTAATGATTTCTATTACTTCCAGTGGATGAAATATTTGCAGTATTTTGGCCAGAATGGTAGAACACAATCGGCTGGAGGGTTTAAGGGCAACATTTGGATGCAGACAAAGCCAGCTTTTGCTTAGTTACACATGCGCATAAGTACATACATACATATGTTACATGTACATACACCTTGCACCAATGGACTGTTTTCAATGAATAAGAAGAGCACAAAGGAACCAATGCATTCTAGAGATGTTGGTCACCGTGCAAAAGCTTGCCCCAATTCACAATGTATAGAAACAGTGTTTGTAGTTTGGGAATTCAAATTGTTATGTTCATGTTAATTAAAAAGGAATCTGTGTACCTGATTTTATTCAAATTCAAATTGAATTTGCAGATTGCTTAGGCCAAACAAAAGAATAGCTGTGCTTCCTACCGCATTGAAAAAAAAATTGGTTGGGTCTTCTTTTTTCTTCTAAAGTTTTTGGGTCAAAAATTTTAGGATGGGGTGGTTTTTTAAAATTAAATAGTGATTTTGATGGTTTACGGTGTGCTCCACTCTTTTTTTCCACCGATTCATAACTTGAGGATCGGTATTGTCAAAGATAGTACCCAAGTCAGAGCCTCTTCGACAATTATACATTTGTGTTGCACTGACAGTTTGATAAGTTAATGTCCAAAAAATTGTTTGAAAGCTCGTACAAAGTGATGCACATAGAGCACTTAAAACCCACGCAATGATGCATGATGTAATGACTTTACATGCCCCGCCCCAGTTGTCATTTGACCCTCTTGGCGAAAGCTAAAATGTACTAACCTTATTTTGGGCCATAAATTCATGGTGAAATGTGTGCTAACGCAAGTTATAATGGAAATCGTTAGTCACTACCTCTGCTCACGCAGGAAGGGCTGTAATGAGTCCCACTGACACATATGAATATTGATGTTTCATTGGCAGCCAATCACAACACAATGACCCCATGGTCCTAGGATGCCATTTATACACAAGGATTGCGCTTGGAGCCTCACAGTTACGTATCACTGTACGCACGTACTGTACATGTACATGTACCGTAGATTCAGTCGCATGCATTACAGAGTTCCAGTACTGTTTGGTTTCAGAACAAGGCCATGCAAAGTTTGACTTGGCCATTGCATCGCGTCGGTTGAAAAAGAAAAAAAAACAGAAAAGGCGTGATTTGCTAGGTTGGGACGGGTAACCAGAAGCACAACTATTATATTGTTTGGCCTTAGTATGGCTCCAAATGGATTGATAATTTACTTTTTATTTATTTACTTTTTTCATGTAATTTTATTTTATTTTATGAAACCAACAGTGGTTAACCGCCATTTACAGGATTCATTTATAGAAAACAAAACATTAAAATTGAAATCAAAATATGAAATGCAAGGCATTGATTAATTTGAGATACTAAAAATTATACAATATGAATATAGATATTGTTATATAATTGTTAATTACCACTGCTTAGTCTTGTAAAAATAATGGGATATGAAAATAATGGGATAAAAGCAACAGGAATCAATTGAATATTAAAAAGCAGTCAGAATACAGAGGATAAAAATTCACCTGTTAAGCAGCTTAACCCTAACAGCCCTGAATCCTCCAATTTTAATATGATTTTTATGCACACCCTAGGGAGTTAGGGTTAATGAGGGAGCACCAACATTAGTATCAAAATCTTTCTTTGCAGAAACGTTTTTTACCCTAGAGGTATATTTTGATGAATTGGAAACCACTCATCTGTCAAACTCATATCTATGATTACTACGTATATCTCTACTAATGTTTACTTTTGCCAGGAGTATTTCCAATAACGATATGCACGCCATAGCAGCCTGTCTACCTGACTTGGAGCAGCTGGACATTCTGGGAACATTATCAGTGTCTGTAGATGGTGTCCAGAGGTATGTCAGTCTAGATGATTCCAGCACCCCACGCAAAGCCTGTTTGTAATCTTTTGTGTCAGCCATGCACTACACAGTACCTGTAATATTATTATATGTAGATATCACAGGAGTGCGAGTGGAACACAGAATACTGGATTACTGGTACATCTGTGTCCTGTATACCATGAGACCAAAGGCCGATTGGTACATGGGAAACAGGAGCACTACATTATTCTCCATTCCACCAGCCCAAGTGTGATAACTAATAATATTTATCTTCAAGTAAACTTGATGCACAGGTAAGATATTATAGGGGCCTGTGCATGCAAACACACCTCCCTCAAATTTAAAGTAAATTTTGCTATTGTGCATTTTGCTTTCAGCATAAAAATAGCACAATGCGTGATTTACATGTACAAAGGCACATTACACAGGGTTTGATATGAACCATGCAATAAAGTTCTATATCACACTGTTTGTTGCCATGGATCAGCCAATCAGAATTGAGAGGTCAAGTTTGCCTGAAGATAAGTACTTACATGTATATCACCCTGTAGTCTGTCATATGACTACCAGTAGTGTTCGAATCCACTTAACTGACACCTTGAAAACGTCCACTTTTTATTTTGAATCTGTAATGAAATTATGACATGATCAAGCAGCCTGCTTCAGCTTTATGTGTTCATGTGAAATGTACTGGTACAGTGAGCTTTCCCAAGGCTAGCATGTGCTTCGTATGCCTTCCTGTTGTAAACAAAGTAATATTATGGTGGACATTTTCCCGGAATAAACACATTTTAGAAGCTAAGTAGTTGTCTAGTAGAAATCGTATAGTTTCCCAGTGCAGAAGCTGTACATGCATATGTCACATTCTATCTTGCGTATGGTACAAGTATGCAAAGATGAGCTTTTTACATTTCTTTGGTCTTCCGTCCGTTTTTACTCCAACTTTCCCATATCCTTCAAAATCCACCAGCAGATTTTCCAGTATTGGGATACACAGCCCAGCTTTGTTTTCGTTTTGAGGAATTTGATGCTGTTCCTGTATTTCTGCTTGGGTAGTAAAAAAATTTCAGACTTTTCAGTGGAATGAAATGAATTTGGCTTTGCAATGGGAGAGATTGATATTATATTAAGTTTTCCTGGCCGCCAACGTGTATTCACACTATCCCAGTGTGGCTGAGAGTTGCAAAAAATCACAGGTTTGCCCAGTTGGAATCAAACCCATGACTTCCCTGCATACTGGCATGCACATCTTAACCACTTGATCACTGAGTGTGCCAGGATCAGGTGGCTGATTCAAATCCAAAGCAGCAGTGGGCACCACAAGCATTACAGATTGAGAATACATGTATGTATGTACATTGGTGTAACTACATGGACCTACTACTCAAAATGTGTTACATGTAAAGGCAAGACCTGGAATAAAACCAATATTCGTTTGTTTTGCTCTCATTCTTATACCATTCCAGAGTCTTCGAAAGCTGTCCGAAGATGCGCTTCTGTGACCTGTCGTTCTGCAACAGTATAACGGACGTGGACATTGTCATGTTGAGACAAGCCCACCCCCGGGTTACCATACAGAGGAGCTTTATATCGTCCTGACCACTGCTCAGGCCAAATACAGCGTGTGCTAGACCTTCCTGTGGAGAAATTGTCCTTAAAAACGAAAGGGAAGGTTTGCAGTATTGATGTCTGAAATGCAAGGTATTGTTCCTCATGTTATCGGTGCATTGTCTTTGGCACCAATCATATTCAGGAAATATGGTATCTGATCACTGCTTTGTAAGTATTAATGAGTCCTGAATGTAATGAACATAAACATTCCAAAGGTTTATCTGTGTTCACTATGCAAAAGTAGTGTATATACTTTTAAGGTCTTTCGGAATATTATTTACCGGTACTGTGATCTTTTCTCAGGTACATGCTCATAAACTATTTTACTGGTGACAGATATTGAAGTGCTCAACCTGAGAGGTCTTACGAATACCGGTACCTGTATATGCATATCTGAGGCCGTGTCCGAAACGGGCTTCCAGAGCTACGGCTACATGTAGGTCTATTGTCTATGCGTCTCCACGCATTTCTAATGGAGTGAAGACCTAGACCTAGCTCTAGACAAGAGATTCGGATGCAGCCTAAGTTTACATGTAGAGAAGTCTTTCAGAGTCCAGCAGTTCGAGCCAAATCGTCTGGAAAGCAGGATTGAGGGAAAGTCTGAGATCCACACCCAGTGCTGCCTCCAACACAGACTCTCCAAGGAATGCAGCATTTCAAATGGAGGTATTTATGGTCACCAGCTCATTTCTTGACCGAGACTGTTATACCAGTACATGTACATGTACAGTAGGAACAGTGTGTGCAGTATGTTTACCACTGTCCATGATTGAGATTTGGGCTGGAACCAAGGGTTTTGTAAAGCATACAGAGGTCAGCCTGTTGGTCATTGGGTGGTCACCTGAATTTACTTTTTTTCTCACTTTGATGAGTACTCGGCATTAACAATTTCAGCAAGTCAGTGTTTATTCTATGTGTAATGAGAGCTTACACTTCATGGAAAGGGAAACATTTTTCTTTTAAAGGAATCATCAATCGTGTATGTTACGTGTAAAGCTTTGAATCAAGTAATTACCTTCTTCTCAAGTTTCCCAGTTCTGCTCTTTTTTCAACCTGAAAGTAGTTTCTCCTAAACACGTGGCTCGGTTTCTGTCAGGAAAGTGTTGCAAGCTCATCCAAGCTCATCCAAACTCATCCAAACTGTGATTTCTTTTGTTTTAGGGTATAAAACTTAATGAACTTTTTTTTTTGCCTTTCATGTTCAAATGCACATATCCATACTCAGGGGTTCCTCTGTCTCGGTTTGTGCCTGTCAGTACAAGAGGTAACAAGTACATTGTAATTCTCACAGTTCGGGTACACTGCCCTTGAGTTATGCATTGAGTGTTTTGTGGTGAATGAAATCTTGGATGGGCATCATTAAGTTGGCATCATTCAAGGACTGGTGGGGGCCCTCAGGCTTGGATGTACATGTATGTACAACTTGATATTCCATCTGCCCATTGAGGCTGCTCTGTGTAGTGGATAATTCATGAATTGCAGAAGCTTAATTCATACATTTGGTCCCAGTTGGAATATTGTCACAGGCAATTTTATGTAAAAATTAACAAACCTCATACGTGTACCTGGCTAGGAACAGCCTGTTCCTTTTGGGAGCATCCATGGCTCCCTATGGGAACATGCACTGTTCCCAAAAGGAATATTTCAACTTCCGAGATCCTCCCCAACTATTGATCTCAACTATAAAAACAAAAGTGGATTTACTAGAAGAAGAATGTCTATCCTAAATTTGACTTCACACTTCCAAATGCTCTCCCCACCAGTTCCCCAGTTAGATGATGCTCTTTTAAGGTCCCATAGCACCTTCAATCTCTGCTGCTCCTTGACACTATGTAGCCCCTTCATACTGTCTTGCTCCTCAAAATTCTTGTCCCTCCTGTAATTCTCCGAAGCTTTATTGCTCTGAGGGACTCCAACGAGGTTGCAGTTTCCATTTGAAGTTTTTCTGCTGGATTTTTTAGGCTGTTAACCAAATACAAGACAATACATTGCAATTACAGTTTTTAATGCCAAAAAAAAATCTACCGCAAATGCTGTATCCCGTGAGCATTTTGCCACACTTCACAAAAATGCATTAGGTATGCCAATATATGCATATGACCCCATGACGCAAGTGCTTGCCTATGTCATGCAGCTGCCCGGCCGGAGCGCTGAGGTGTCCCTCTGTCACGTACGTTTTCTTGCGCGTGTACACACGTGGTTTAGTTGTAGTTTCCTGATACTTTCTTGCCCATTTTGATCATTCATAGCCACAGTCATTCACTTTTGTTGGCATTTGGATCTTGATTGTACTAAGTATTGTGCCACTAACATGTGTCGTCTGTGGTTGCACGACGAAGTCCCAAATCTTACGTGAATATTCACAACTCATCTCGTGGTGGATACTGGAAACCTCTATATGTGCCCTCTGCATCTGGATAAGCATTTGGTACCTCTATTATGTGGTTGCCTCAACCAGGGATGGTCAGTGATGCAGGAAATGGTGGGGTCACCAATTTCTGCTAGCTTATTCTTCAGTGGCTGTATCTTAGAGCAACACCTGCAGTTCACTACATCTCCCATTACCTGGCATTTCCCACATGAACACCTGGAGGGATTAGAATGACAAAACTGTCAGACGTCGAATGTTACAAACTCCGACCGTTAAAAACTCCGACCGTCAATGACTGTAGCTAGACTGTGCCAAAAATGCTTTTTTTTTCTAGGGCGTGACCAGACCTGCTAGCTTTCGTAATTTTTTAGAAATATGTTAAAATACCTGCAAATGAATGGCAATAAAATTAGGGCCTACCAGTCGGTATTTAGCAGTCGTCCAGGCATCGGTCCGACATTCACTTCGGCACCAGCAACATCATCTTGCATGGCGGAGTGGCTTCCTGCTCGAAGCTGTATGGCTGCACACCATGAACAACAAAGGCAGGACCCTCGGCCTCGCCGTCAGCATCACCAAGTTCATCGTCTGATAGTTGGCTTTCAGCTTGGCGAATCCCAATCCAACCTAGATTCTTCAAAATCAACCTCAGAGGACCCGGTAGATTCTTCCATTTTTCGACTCAGCACTCACACAAAATGCTAAACCAGGATGACAACAGCCAATTATGCATTCACGCACAGATTGGTGAGAAGTTCAGGTAACAGGCTTGATGCTTATACATAATCAAACGGCAGTACGACTCCTGGCCAAGTGCGGTCCAAAACTATTTGGTATTGGTATCAATTTTTACTTTTGTTATGAGTGTACATGATTTTATCTGAAAATTTACAAAAATGACTTGGAAAAAAGGAAATTCCTAATTTTTTACTGGCAATTTCTATTTGTGTAATTTTACAAAAAAGTCATGATAATTATGAAAAATTCGTAATAGTTGGCAGCTATGGAAGTGGTGCTAACGTTTTACTCCCCTTCAGTTTGCAGTAAACTGGGTTGAGAAATGAGACCCAGTCATACAATGACGGTGCCATCCTCAAGTTCATCCAGTTGGGGGATGTTTTATTTTTTACTCGGTTTCTCTTGGATGGCTTTGACTTTCTCGAACTTGTTTTTTCCTTGAACTGAGCGTAGCAAGATCGATGGTATCCAGTGTACTGCAGTGGTCCATCAACCGATGTCAAGTCAGCCACTCTCTGCCACTGATCGTGTCGCTCTGTTTGGCCAAGAAATCTCTTGTAATATCTGATTGCCTTCCCTCTAGAGTCTTCCATTTGTTGGCAAACTCAAGGCAGTGAGACCAGTTATGTTATCTGTATAACGCCACTCTAAAATATTCTGAGATTGGATTAGCTTTTAGAATGAAGGCAGTGTTGCAGTCATCCCTCAGTAATCTGTGTAGGTGGTGACTAAGGCTGCATCCAAATCTCTTGTCTAGAGCTAGGTCTAGGTCTTTTCTCCGTTGAGAATGTGTGGAGACGCGTAGACAGTAGACTTAGAGGTCGCTCTGGAAGCCCATTTCGGACACGGCCTTACTTGCTGCGGTATAGCATCATTGCACACTCCAAATACCAGACACTTCCACAGGGCCATGAAGTACCGGTAGATCGGGCCTGGCTGGAACGCTTTATTGGGCAAATGTACCTGCTGTGCAAAAGCAAAAGACTAATGTGAAACAGAAGGATGATGTGTCTTCACTGGATCATCCAGATGTCGATCCGGCAGGCAATTTTTGGCTTCTTTGACCTGGGATGTGTAGTAGGATCGCTGCTTGGTTGCCGTCAGGAGATGACTTTCCTGCTCCTTCAGCCTTTCCCCCTTTGCCTCTTCACCATGGTTGGCTGACCTTATGATTGCACTGTTGTTCTCTTGACATGTGAAGCAAAGGTCAGTCATGGACCTAGAGATGACGATGTGTGTGCAAAGCTCCCTCCAGAGGTCCCAAAAAGCACTCAGACCCACAACTCTGCAGCCTGAAGATACAGAGATAACAAATAATTGTGATGGTTATACATGCTGAAATCTTCCACCACCTTTCAGATGTTGAATGCACACAGTTGTACTTACCACCAGTTTTGATGATGGTCTTGTACACTCTGTGTACAGTAGCCTTGGTGGCGTTGCTGGGAAGAAGGATGTCATCCCACTTATGGCCTGCTCCCCTACCGGGGAGCATTACCGCATGAGTGGCTGCATAGTTTTGAAGGAATACCACACTGCATTGACTGTCTTCAAAAGACAATGCTGTTTTTCTTCTCTAGCTTCCTTTTTGTTGTGTGTTTTTCTCTGTTGCCATTGTCCTGGCAGCCGACTGTTTATTCTGACTGATTCTGGAAAAAAAAAGAAAACAATCTCAAATGTAAACAAATTTTAATTGGCTAAGCTCACTGACATTTTTGCCAAAGGTGAGGAAGCTCAAGGCAGCCTCGAGAGTACAAATGAAAGTCATTTTCTAATCAGTAATCTTGTAATCTGTGCCGTGTTTGTTTCAGTCAACTCGATCCAATTGTGCAAGTCTTATTTTTTATCTCACACATTTTCAATCTCACACAGGAACGGGCATGCATGCAAAATGCCAAGGCAGCATGTATGCAAAATGCGTGCGTCCCTAGGGACTACTTCATTTCCAACCTTGCAGGTAGTGGTGAGTGCACAATGTGTGTACTGCTCAACACCCCGGGAACGAACTGTGCTTGTGTACGCTCTGGCCGCCAGCTTTTTACGATGGTTCCCGACCTTAAGGTAACAAATGAATTTGTCGACCCCACTTTGGTTCACTCAAGATTACTTGAAGGCATTCCGTCACCCCTCTTATGTAAATGAAACATGCTACATGTGCATACTGGTTTCACAGCCGAACGCACAGCCACACATTGGGGACTTGCAACACAACAGGCCCTGTAATCTTGGGGACTCGGTGAACACAACAGGCATGACCGATTACAAACACATTTAAAAATACATGTACATGTATATGAAAAGCTGAGGAGACAAGTTCATTTGAATGACAAGCTTTATACATGCTCTTTATTTGACAGGTTTACACTAACATGATGAAATATCACAAACTAAAATGAGGTGCTTATCTTTACAACAGTGGGAAAGTTCTAGACACTGACTAGTTTATAGGCATATTTAAACTGGCCTCTCCAGCCTCTTAGGAATAGGAATATGTAATGTTATTTCTGAGTCTCTGACTTGCGAAAGTTGTAGGTTCTTTCACCTTTGTCTTCAAGTCAATCTTTACCAAATTCAAGGCATCGGCTTCCTTACTCTCAGCTGACATGTCAATTACTTCTGATTTCGGTCGCCATTCATCATACCGTTCATCCCAACCGATGTAGTGGACCTTCGCTTCCTCTGACCCTGATGAAGAAACTCTTCTGTCAGTGATCTCCAATTGATAAAGCTCAGTGGTTGACCACTATGCTCGCCTTGGATTGGATGATCCTGGTTGAGTCAGCACTGGTCCGTTATGGATGGCACCGTAGTCAAGCCTCCCATCTGCACTTCTCTCCCTCAGATTCATTACCTGATCATTCTAAACAAGGTCAAAAAGGGAAGAATTTATTTTACATTCAATTTCTTGGTTCATCCATGTGCATGTATGGGTACATGACAGGCCTACGAACATGAAGAATGATGCCTCCTTTGTTACAAAATGGTTTGGTCCTCTGCACACATAGCATCGTCATGCATCAACCAAACTTTGCAACCATACTGAGTCTTGAAGGATTTTGAAACTGAATTTACATTATTTTTACATTGATTTACAACAGAAAAATCATACAGTTTGCTCTTTGATGCCAAAATAACATTTTGAAGAAGTGTACAAGTTTACCAGAGATTTGAACAGGACTTGGTTGCCAAAAGCATCACATAGAATGATTGACTGCATGCTACCCTCATTGCTAAGTAAATCCATTGTAAACTGGACATTGTCTTTCAGATCTTTTTTAACCCAAGTTCACCTGTATTTCTCTTTTCTTTTCACATCTCTTCGATATGCTCATCTTTTGATAAGTCTTCAAAGAGTGGTTTGGGTTTTCTTTACAGATTTTGTACACTGTTTTGCAATTTTCATGTTTGCTTTGCCCTCGTTTTCAGCTAGTTTCCTTCGTTTTCTCTCACTCTCAAGATCATGCTCAATACTTGAGTCCTCCCAGTTTAAGCTTGTGCACTGTATTCTTGAATTTCTCAAGAATTTTTTGGCCTTGATTTCCAACTTTTCTAAAGGCCTTCAGTGTGGGAGTCATCATGCTTTTGCTTTTTGTCTAAATCTAGTGGTCACATCTTTATCAAGAAAATCAAAATTAATGTTGTTACTTTCACAGATTCTCTTCAAGGCTGATTCTGCCCGAGTTTTCCCATGAAAAATTTGCTTTCTCTCTCTCACAATAAGTAAATGGCATAGTTGTAGATTCTAGCATCCATTTCTGAATTCACATCTGGATCTGGGTGGCAGTGGCCAAGATTCCTCCCCCAAAAACCAATGAGAATAATGCACAGCAAACACTTCAACTGTAAACTCATTTTGACATTACAATTCCAAGCCTCAGGAGTGCAATGCATCCGTTTGTGAAATTAAAAATCTACACGTTCCTACATGTACTTTCTGGGCCTTTGGATCTGTTCAGTGTATTTTTTCCATAGAGAAGGAGCATGCATGTTCAGGCATGCACAGCTGTGAATGTAACAAAGATGTGTGTCTCGTTAAATCAAATTAACAAAGCTGATTTAAGTTTAAAAAATCAGCTTTTTTATTTTAAAAGAAAATTCAGGATTTTTAACAATCATGACAGCTTTTTTAATGGCACAGCACACAATCTGAAAAAAAAAGTACAAAAACAAAAAATTAAACATTAATTTAAAATGGTGGTACGTACAAAATGGGCAAATTGTACCGTGGCATGTCCGCAAATGCATGCAAGAAAAAAAAATCATCAACAACGTGGTTTAGCAGTTTGCAAGCAGAGTTCTTCAATCATGTCACTTGCATGGAAAATGTAACGTACATGCTGAAAATACATGCCTACTTGTTCTACAGCATGCTGGGCATGAAACCATCAAGACACAACTTTGGTGCAGAGAGGAGTTATGAGTTGACCTTGTGCTTCACTTTCCATGGAGTTGTGGTATTTTTTAATCTTTACACTTGCTTGAATCCTGGACGATGACGTGCCGTTGCTTGATGTTATTCATTATCAGTAGTGTTTTAATGCGTGCATTTCGAGACTATGCTTTAGTGTACTATGGTACCTTACAAAAACATGCTGTGTACATGCTATGGCATGTCTAATTTGCACAATGATGACAGTGCAGTAAGCATTAGAAAAACCCTATTGTATTTTAGGTGTTAAGTCATGCTGATGCACTGCTAAAGCATGCATTCCTCGCATAGACCACTATGCTGTTGTGCATGTACTAATTAATATAATTTTACATACATGTATATTTAACAAGTTGTTGCTGTCATGATTTAAAAGTAGAATTTTAAAAAATATATTTCAAATAAATTAATTTCTACATTATTTTCCAAAGTACCAGTACTTTAAAGTGTTCAAAATTTGTGTGCTTTATTCTTCCGTATAAGTCCATTGTTTGGTCCAGTCAGGTATTTTAAATTTAAATGTGGTCCAACATGTTTTCCTTTTTTGTTTGAATTATATTGCTGTTCATTGGTACCTCTTCTGTGTAGTTGTTTGAAGAATGTAGATACACATGACCATGCACTCATCCATGAGAAATTGTCAAGGCGATGTAAGGAATTTTTCTTCATACATGCATCTTTTAACTACCAGAGAAACAGGAGAAAAGCTTGATTTAAAGGAAGTATATTTTCATAGACAAGTACTGGGAGATTAAAGAGGACCATCACCTCGGGTTGCAAATACTTTGACACACATGCACTACTTAAAATGACAAGGTTGAATTCAATTATTTTGAATGGACTGCTCTGTCTTTTTACTAGGATGCTCTTGGGTTTTTCACCTTCTGTTAACATTGCCCACATTTTTAAACCAGTGCCTGATATCAGATTTTTTCAAAATGCTGTATTATTCTTGCAGTTAGTGCTCCAACAGAAATTGTTGGAGACTGGGGAGGTTTAGGGGTTCAAGAATCTATCAGCCTGAGGACTCAGAAAGTACATTCCTTTGTCACCAGAGTGATGTTCGTCCTTCTTTCCATATTAAAATGAAGCAGACTCATTTGCTAGGCAGTATTTACACAGACTCTGTAACTGACAGCAACTTCACATAAACCAGCTGGGTATATCGTTCAAATTATTGCTTTTGTCACATATTTTGTACATGGTCACATGTTTTTCTCAAACAGGGGCCAGTCTTATGGAGCTTGATATTTATATAAAATAGAAGTTATTGGTTTCAAAGTATTTTGGTATATTATTGCACACAGTATATATGCAAATAAACTGTATTTGTTGATCACCTGAAATGTTTTAGTAGCATGTTTTATTAACTGCTCTCGAATAAATGCGAAGTGATGAGTTGAGAAACTATATTTGAAACTTTATTATCCCACCCAGGGAAGTTCACATGGTCTTTAACAAAAACAAATAACAAACAAGACGAATTAAAGTTGTGTCCAAGCTCAAATTATGCATATAAGAATTAAAAACAAAAAACAAAACTGACAGACTTGCGGATTGTGTAACAAGTTTAGAATTCCAAATACTTTCCAATCTCCATGAGTAGTGGAAATAACAGGAAAACAGGTACTCTACTGGTACATGTATGTCTGGATTTTCCATTGGAAAATGTTAGAAAATGTTAAATATTTAAAGCTTTGGATGTTGGAGGTGAAATTGTAATGCTTGGTGGATTACCGTGCAGGAGCAATTTCTTTTCCAAAGCATATTTCAGAAGAGCCGGTGGTTTGGGATCTATGTTTTGACCAGTGTGCCCTGGTCATTTGCGAAGAAATGGGGCAGCTTTCCCAAGTCAACATAGTACACATGTTCATATATATCAAAGGGCATTGTTCATGCATCTGGCTTTAATCTTTGCAGCTCCAATAAAATGGTTTCACAACCCCACTTGAGGCACCGTGACTTCACAGGGTAGGTAGTTCTTGGTCTCCGGATGACAGTCTTCCTCATTTTGTGTGTGCGTATTCGAAAACTTTAACACTAATGATTCCTAGTCACTGATCCTCTGAAGTTGACATTAAAGTGCAATTATTTGAACTATTCACATTGCCACAGCAATAATGTCACTAATAAGCAGACTGCTTTGCGACAGTTTTATCATTGTGACAATGATGTTCAACTCACTGACAAAAAGCACATATCAGAGTTTTAGACAAAACTTTGTTGCAATGTTTTATCATATCAAGTTCTTCAAGGAATGGTTTCACACATTTTTGTTCTTTTGTGCTTTCTAAGGAGCCTTTATTTTCACAAAATGGTTTCCAATACATACAATTTATAATCAGATTAAAATTGTAACTGAATGATCAACACATAATTGATTAACAGAGTAACCGAATAATAGTTAGCAGCCCTACACCAGTTGAACAATATGCAAGTCTTCCAACAACACCAAGCTAACGTTCTTATTTGAACCATCGGTTTACATGTTCTATAATATACGCCAATGGCATTGTGACGCATCATGATATGGTAAAGAATAATGAACGTCTTGAGACTGTCAACAATTTTGAACGGTTTGGACTCACATAAACGTAGTTTCAGAAAATAATTTCAGAAAATAGATGACTTGTTTTAAGTTTGAGTTGTTTACAAATATAATTGGGATTATACAGTCTGAGCGATATTTACAATAATGCGAAAGGGTCACATCAAACATATTCATCATGTTTGGAGGACACTGCTGAATATATGCAAACCCGTTGAACTAAGGGACCAGGAACAATATAACGCGAGGAATGTATTATAGTGTGATATTGAAGTTTTACAATAGCAGGGGTTACATCGCGCAAGGAATGGTGGGAACCAACATGGCGCGGCCCGCAAGATCGTAACCGTGGGAACGAGTTTGGGGCAAAGGTATTTCAGGAAGCACACCATATCCCTGGAAGACGCAGCCCTTCCATATTTCTCTGATTTATTTGCTGCGAATTTTGTCGATCACCGTTGGATATGGTCAAGCTTCACCTTCGCCGGCGATTGTTAGACAGCTTGCCAACTTCATCACCTGCAGCTGCGGAAACTTCCCTGGAACTTGCTGTGGCTACATTTTCCTTCCTCCATGCATTTACGAAGACACGCTTCTGTATAGTCACGTAAATTTCTTGCCTCCATCACAAGATTATCCCAAATGGGTTTGAGTTGAAATTCCAGCCTTCTGATCTCAACCCGGTTGAGTACATGAACTTATCATGACACTATTCACCGCATTTTACACTCCACCTCATGTAAGATCATGTGGTGTACTGTGCATACTATGCGTGAGCACATCGATAACTCGAGCACCACTATCGATAGGTGCCGACGACATCTTTATGATGTCAACGATGGCTGAACGACTTACATCATTAGGGGCATAGTTCACGACCTAAATCACGAACTTCATGCCGCTCTCGAAGCAACCAAAATCAAGAAAATCAAATCTAAGTACCTCAAGCTCAAATCAGACAAATGTCATTGTACGCCAATGTCAACGAGCAACGCTAACCAAGTTTTGGTAGTTACCATCCCACCAGATCTCCCCCTAACTGACGGCCAACGTTCTGTCCTCGAGCTTGGACTGAATTTCATCCCGCTAACGAACTGATGGGACGAGTTCATCACCCGTCACCGGACGTCGAGAAGTTCTTCCGTCGTGTGAGTTTGCGGGCCTTCTTCCACGACAAGGATTCCAGGTCAGTTCGTTCAGATTCGGGTACGTATGTCTACTCAGAATGAAGACTTGTCTAAGGTCATTGCAAAGCTTGCGCCCACCAAGTCCACCTTGTGTCCAGCATCCGGTCTCAACAAAACCCTCGACCGCGTCATTGAAAATTGCCGCACGGAAATCAAACGCCTTAAATTCAAAGCCAATCTCAAGCGCTTCAACATTTCATCGGCTGAATGCAAAGCACTGTGGTCTCTTAAGAACGATGATACCATCGTCATTAAGAAGGCGGACAAGGGTGGCGCTACGGTGTGATGGCGTAAGGACTTGTATGTCGCTGAAGCGGACCGTCAACTGTCTGACGTTGCGTCCTACACTAGGGTTGACCGCGACCTTACACAAGAGCATCAAGATATTGTTGCTAGCTCCATCCAAGGTTTCATTGACTCAGGCGACTACCCCCCTAACGAAACCAAACTGGTCGTTCCCAACCCACGCACGGCAGTCTTCTACTTGCTACCCAAAAATCCGGAAATCCTGGCCGCCCCATTGTGTCTACTTGTAGTTGTCCCACTGAATTGATATCCAACTTCCTTGATACCTTCTAACACCCATTGTCAAAACGCTCCCCAGCTATGTCAAGGATACTAATCACGCTCTACGTCTGTTCGATGAATTTGAGTTCCCAGGTTCATCCAACTTTCCTTTCCAGTCACCATGGATGTGAAATCGCTTTACACATCCACTCCTCACACGGGGTTTGGCTGTGCTCAAACATTCCCTAGATCTCCGCCAGACTCACTGGGTCCTCCCATCAGCACTCTGCTCCGTCTGGATGAATTCGTGCTCACGTTGAACAACTTCGCGTTCAACGATGAGCACTACATCAGACCAGTGGCTGTGGGCACGCGGATGGGACCAAGTTATGCCTGTCTGTTTGTTGGCCACATCGAGGAGCAGATGCTGACCCAGTATCAGGGCATGCAGCCGTTAATGTAACGGCGATACATCGATGATATTGTTGGTGCTATCACCGGTACGTGTGATGACGTTGAGAATTTCTTAGCGTTTGGGCATGCTTTTCACCCAGCACTGCGCTACACGTCTGATGTGTCGCAACACTCTGTTACCTTCCTCGACGTGCACGTCCAGATCTGTGCCCAGAAACTTGGCAAAACCGTGCATTACAAACCCACAGATTCCCACAGCTACCTGCAGTGGGCCTACCAATCGTCTCACCCCCTCATGTGTAAGAATTCCATTCCTTACTCTCAGTTTCTTCGACTGCGTAGGATTTGTAGTAGCCATACAGAGTTCTCTGCGCGTGGGAAGGAAATGCCAAGTTTCTTTCATCAGCGCAGTTACCCTCCGGCTATCACACCGCCTTTAACACCGTATCTTCAATCCCGCGCGAAACAGCTCTGAAACCCACCGGGACCAAGCAACGTGACGTGATCGCGTCCCCCTCGTACTCACATACCACCCTCGAAATATCCCGGTACGTAATGTTCTTCTCAAACATTTTCGTACACTCGGAAATGATGCGGCCACAGCTTCCATTTTCACCGAACCACCGATCGTTCTGTCTGGGACATGGTTGTATTCTGTCTCGCCGTCAAAAGCAGGCAGCAATTCCCCTAAGCGCCCCAGATGTAACACATGCTCCTACATAGTTAACAGCCCGTCGGTCGTCGGCCCCCGCGTAGCTATACAATTAAGGGGATTATGCGTTACAAGTAATGCGGTTTATTCCATTACATGTCGTCGCTGTGGTAAACTGTACATCGGAGAGATCAACATGCGTCGCCTTGGTGACCGCTTCGCGGAACACTTGCGCAGTGTACGGCAACAAAATCCTGGTCTCACTGTTGCGCGCACTTTTGCGCGCCACCGCATACTCTCGGTGACGTGAGCGTCTGCATCTTGCAGAAAGCGTCATTCGATGTACTGACAAGAATATAAGATTAAATCAGTGCTCTGAAATATACGATTGCCGAGCTTTCGGTAACTGAGTACCTTCTTCATGGCAAGCAGATTAAGTTCTGAATCTGCTTGCCCTGAAGAAGGTACTCAGTTACCTAAAGCTCGGCAATCGATATTCCAGAGCACTGATTTTATATTATATTCTTGTCAATATTCAAATGGTATTTCAAACAGAGGCTGTTGGCAATTTTATGTACGCAAGAATGTTGAGAGACTTCGAACGCGCGCGCGCTTCCGCGCACATCAGTGTAAATGGACATAAAGCAGGTGCAGGCGCATAACTACCACTGGTTGGCAAAGTTGCTTAAATCTACGACGTAACAGTACAACTCTCTATGCACGTGCAACTCTGTGCACATAATACACGCCGTTTCTGTACTGGCAATTACATGTTTCAGAGCACTGATTTTATATTATGTTCTTGTCAATATTCTCATCACGGTGCTACACAGCCCTTCCATATTTCTCAGTGATATGCCACAAAGGCATACCAAATTGTGTAAAAATTCTGGATACCAAACCCCCAAAAGACATATTTAGCCGTGGGAACACGTGCATAAGTACCTAATACCCTCTTCATAGCACAGCCAGGGCTGATGTAGGAAATAAGGCAACTGACGTCTGAAATGCTGCTGGTCCTAACAGGAAAAGCCAGCGAGAAAATCAATGTAAATTGCTATGCATGAAGCCAGGTCCCGGCACAACAGAACAAAAAAGAGAAATGTCCTGGACAGTGGCTGGATAATCCACAAGAGGTGGACCTATTTCCACAGTCGGGCCTAACAAAGATTAACTCCCACTAGCTTGGAAACAATGGTCACAGATGACCAGACTTTTTGTTGCTGGTACAAATGCACGCAGCTGCAATTACTACCAGCACCATCAATCTGTACCTCTGACCTCCTTAAGCTTGTCAGCCAAGCCTGCTCAACAACTGGGACTCAAATCCTCTGTCTGTTTAATTACCCTGGTGTTTAATGACAGCTTACGGAAGCGTATTACCGCCACGATAATAAAAAAAATTCTCGCCCTATCGTGTACGCACATGATAACTGTCGTGTACGTACACGATAATTTCAAGTGATCATGTACGTACACGATGTACGAGAACACGATAATCGTGTACGTACAGATAACTCGGAAGTGCACGCCGCATCCATGTGTGCACAAGTCTACATGTCATGCCTTCCCATATATCTTAAGTTTGGTGGAGTGGAGTTCGGCCACCACCATGAATTTTGATTTTTCCGGTCTATTTTCTAAGGTTTAATAAGAGAAGTCTTTCTATAACTAAGAAAAATAGGGGGAACCAGTCTGTGCAAGCAAGATTTAAGGAATAATCGATCGATTTCGTCCTTTTGATAACAGTTTTTTTTGGGGGGGGGGTGTATTCCACAAAGATTGCTGTCGTGAAATAGATTTTGTTGAGCAAGAAAAGGACGAGATTTGTTTTCAGCATTAACAGGGCCACTTCCCACTCTTTTCGTACAGTTTTTCTTACTTTTTTGAGACAGGCATGAAGAGATTTTTAGGTTAATGTCGCTTTTAAGACAATGGTGAGATACCAGCATTTGTGCAGATCAGATCTTCCTGCGGAAAGTTTGCGTGAAATTTGCTTAATTTTCAGGGTACAATCCTTGACTAGGAAGTCATCACTGCTAGGCTCGTGCAACTTGAAGGTCACTTGGCATAGTTGGTGGATACTACAACGCTCATCTGCATATCGCCCACAGACCCATCAGGTTGGTGTTTCCCAGAGAGCGGGAGTTCCGCCAAAACTCCGTATATACCCGGAGCTTGAGGGTTCGTTTGTATATAAAATGTTGTTTCTTTCTAATTCACTAGATGGTTTAAAGTATACCGGTGATAATATGCCGTCCCACCTGTTTTTTCTTCTGTGTTGGGGGAACTTTCACTATCTTATTATCCTGCAACACCTTCATTTATCATGCATGTGCGTATACTCATTTGTTATCATTGTATCATGTAACTATCGTGTACGGTACACGATAGCTATCATGCATACGTACATGATAACTTGAACTTATGTATATACACGATAGTTATCATGTACTTACACCGTAGGGGCGGGAATTTATTTTTAGTATCGTGGCGGTAATACGCTTCCGTAATGTAGACGACTCGTAAAACTTTTATACTTTTATTATTATTCTAGAATGCTAGTCTAGATACCAGAGTACTCTTATCTGATCCTTGCACGAGAATGAGCAGGTTTACCGACTACACATTGGACTTGTTTACAAACTGACTGCTTTGGTCTAGTCTGCGTTCTGTGTACACTGTCTGTGGTGCTCTCTTTCCTCTGAGATAGGAGGAAATGTACAAGTACGTTATCGTTTTAGTTCCCTGGATCCTTTTCTGTGGAAAGTGTGTCGATATGCGAAGTTTGTCCGGATAACTGATCTCCAGATGTGGCAACTGCAATTTTTCAGGTTAAGACGCTACTTGAATACTTCTACTATCTCGCCACCACCAGTGATCACGCTTGCTACCTGCTTGGGCCTACATCATGCCGTGTAAGGGCCTGGTGTTTGGTCTGCGTGAACAGTTGTGAAACTCTATGTGAGCGACAGTAGTTTCTAAAGTTTGATCAAGGTGCTGCACTGCAAAGCAATAGGGCTACTCTACCTTCAGAATGTCTAGGAACAGTAAATTTTCTGTACGTTCTGCACTCAAAGCAAACAATTTTATGCGAACCCCACGCAAGCCAAATTGGTCAGACGTGGAATGTGACTACCTGCTTCAGGAAATTCAAAAGAACTTGCGTGCCATACGGAGTCGCAAACCAGACTGCCTGGGGTCCCGCAAGTCATCCAAGACAGACATGTGGAACCGGATGTGTGCTGGACTTCACATGAAACGGCCCACGGTCGTGAGATCGGTTGCTGACCTGAAGGACAAGTGGAAGAAGCTGCAGTTTATGGCCAAGCAGTACATCAGCCAAATCCGGGACAATAGCATGACCAATCGCAGGCCAGATGGCCTCATCGTCATACCCAAACTTGTGTACCGAGTCTTGGAGGT